TTTTAAAAGTATGAAAAATAGCAGTGACCCAGCACTACCCTACACTTTAAATAGAAAAAAAACAGCTTTTCATAGGCAACTTTAAGAATGCAAACAAAGTCAATGCCACCTCCAGGGTGAGTCGCAGACTGGTCAATGTCCAGCAATGACCATCTATGGAAATTCAGTGTCAGTTCTGCAGATCAAGCAGCCACCAGGCAAAAGCTGCCATCAGGAGGCCCGGCCCCCATTTCTGGAATGCACAATTCAGGGGAATCCAAACAAGCTGTTTGTGGGGAGAATAAAAAAATATGATTTAAGAATTGTTAAAAGTTACAAACGAAAGGGGAATGATAATCAGTACAGCATATTCTGTTTATGAGTTTTAGTGGAAGAGCATGTGGGAAGGAAAATTTAAATTTTTACGAGCATACAAAAGCAGGAAGGTTCTTCCCTCAGGCCACAAAGCCTTCTAAATCAGTCTCACTTTTTAAATAATGGGATATAAAACTTTAATTTGGCTTTTAGGAATTTACACCTCCAACTATTACTGTATTTTTCAGAGTATAAGACGTACCAAAGTTTTGAAGAGGCAATTTTTAAAAAGAAGTAAGTAGGTAGATAAAGGGATAGAGAGGGAGAGAAAGAAATACAGTAGATAGGGAGGGAGGGAGAGAGAGAGTGTAGGTAGGTAGGTAGTTAGTTAGGTAGGGGGATAGAGAGAAATAGAGATAGGGAGAGAGAGAGTAGGTAGGTTGGTAGGTAGAGGGATAGAGAAAGAAAAAGAGAGAAATACAGTAGATAGGGAGATAGAGAGTAGGTAGGTAGGTGGAGGCAGAGAGAGAGAGAGAAATACAGTAGGTATTTAGGGAGAGAGAGGGTAGGTAGGTAGGTAGATGTTTCCAGGTGTATTTTATCCATGTGCCCGAGAAGGAAATTGCTGACAATCTGCAGCACTTTAAGACTTTGTTTCTGCTGACACAGCACTTGATCAATGTAATTCTCATCAATCAGTTAAAGAGCTTTCCGAAAGGGGGGGGGGAGTTTTTCCACTCTGCAAACCTCCCCAAAATGACCCGTTTTTTGCGAAAATGGGCCCGTTTTTTTTAAAAGGCATGAATAGCCGGGGGGGGCTTGCAGAGTGCTCCAGGGGGGTGCCCCCCCCAAAAACGAGCAAAAAACGGGCGTGTTTTTTGTCAAAAAAAAATTGCATGCATAGCCTTATGGAGGCTTATAGAGTGCTCCTGGGAGCTGGGGGGAGGGCAAAATTGAGCAAAAAAAGGCCCGTATTTTTGCTCATTTCTGCCTTCCCCAGGAGCTCTCTGAAAGCCTCTATAAGGCTATGCATGGCCATTTTTGCAAAGGGGACGGGGTTTCGGGAGGCAAAAAATGCTGTATTCGGTGTATAAGACGCACCCAGATTTTCAGCCTCATTTTCAGGAAAAAAGGTGCGTCTTATATTCTGAAAAATACGGTATCTTATTACTAGACAACCCATGACACCGGGTCACCATTTCAAAGATATTTTCTTACCAGATACCTCAATATATTCAACAGTGGCTGAATTTCTCATGTATTTCAAAAGTTCTTTAAAATTCAGGGATACAGTAGTCCTCGGCTTACAACCTTTCATTTAGTGACCTTACAGCGTTGCAACGGCCCTGGGAAAAGTGACTACTGACCATTTTTCACACTTACAACCATCGCAGCATCCCCATGGTCACGAAATTTATATTTGGATGCTGGACAACTGACTCATATTTATGACCATCGCAATGTCCCGGGATCATGAGATCCCCTTCTGCAACCGCTTGACAAGCAAAGTCCATGGGGAAACCAGACTCGCTTAACGACCCTGTGACTAATTTAACAGCTGCAGTGATTCAGTCAACAAATATGGCAAGAAAAGTCGTAAAATGGGGCCAAACTCACTTAACAAATTTCTCACTTAGCAATATAAATGTTGGTCTCAACTATGGTCGTAGGTCAAGG